GGGAGGGAGGGAGGGAAAATTAACATAGGAATAAATAAGCTTTGGCAAAGTTTCTAACATTTATCACAGCAGTATGTAAGCACACTTTCAAATCAAAATTGCTCTCTTGAATTGATGAAAAATGTCCCCCAATATTATTTATATTTCTTCTAATATATTTCTTCTTCTTCTTCTCATTAAGCAAGGTACCACTCTTGCTTAATGGCTTCTCAGCTCTGGTACACAAAGTTACCTAGTATAAATAGTCAGCTGGCAAACTGAATTTCCCAAATAACTAATATTCCCTGTGGCACTAAGCAATCCTGAGGCTCCTGGATGTCTAAGTGGCTCTAAGGCACTGTGTACACTGAGGCATAACATCCATTACTCTATCAGTCCTCAGGATACACCTCCCAGGAAAACAGACAGACAAAACTGCTTCTACCCTGGACTGTATCTGCTCACAAAAACATGTAGACCAAAGCTATTCCAAGGTTTTCAAAAGTACCAAGGGATATAAAGTAATATAATTCTCACAAGAACTACTGGAATAGAATAAAATTAAATCCGCCAGGGGAGAGGGGAAAGAGTTCTGAAAACAATTTCTTTCCACATTTTTCATGACCATGATACAATCTGAGCAAAATCTACTGTTCACATCCAAATCAACAAGTCTAACAGCTTAGAAATAAAAATTACTGAAGATATTCAAGGAAATCTTTAAAAAGTGATAATCTCTGAGACCACACTCTACCCACTGCATTCTAAAGCTGACATGACTGCTTCCTGGAGAACAACAAATCCCTGTAGCTCTTGTGCCCCAAGCTGCTACCTCTGGGTACTTGCAGAAAACAGATGACTAACAGGAGTGCTCTTACCCCACCATGGGATCTAACACAATAGCCCGGGGCTCCTCTAAGTCCTCTGAAATCAGAATCTTCCTCATGGTGCCATTAAGCCTTGTCACTTCGATCCGATCAGTGCCAGTGTCTGTCCAGTACAGGTTTCTTGCAGCCCAATCAACAGCAATGCCATCAGGATGGGCGATCTGGGCAGTGACCACAAACTGACTGCCAGAGCCATCTATGAAGGAACGACGGATGGCCCTCACTTCATCATCAGTCCAGTAGATATAGCCTTCTACAGGATCGTAGTCTATGGCAATGGCATGCCGGATATCTTCTAACTGCAGGACAATGTCAGTAAAATCTGGTGTATCCAAAGAAATGCGCCTCAAGTCTGTCCTTCGGGCTAAAAGCAATAGTTCAGTGGCACCTAAACCAACAAAGCAAAATCAAGCAATCATTCGAATGACACAGGCAAAATTTAGCCATTCTATATAAAGTATGCAGAAGTCATCAGGAATTAAAATTAGCTGAGTTTAATCTAAGCTCTTTGGAGTAGCACTAAAAAGTGATACTGTGAAACGGAAGAGTCAGTGTAAACTCCATGATGGCTACCTCTCCAAAGCAAGTTTTGATCTACACTTGCTTTCATTTACCAGATAAGCCCCAGATAACAAAGGTACGTAAAAGGTATGCAAAAGTAATCAGTTATCATTTTAGTCCCCATAGCTAAGAAGAAATTTGTAGAATACAGAACCTTTATTCAAGAAGCCTGTTTTAAAGGGTCTAAAAGAAAGGCTGGGAAAATAGTAAAGTGCTTGCCTTACAAGCATGAAGACCCAGAGTCTGGCCCTCTCAACACACAAATAAAAGCCAGCCATGGTGGCAATACACTAGCAATCCAGGCAGAATGGTAAAGATAGGTAGATCTCCACGTATCACAGGCCACCCAGCCTAGCCTACTTCGAAAATTCCATGCCACAGACCTGCCTCCAAGGGGAAAAAAAGAGGTGGATGGCACCTGGAAAGTGACACTTGAGTTTGTTCTCTAGCCTCTATTTACACCCATACACATGAACAGTCATGTGAATGCAAAAGTGTGCTCATACACACACACACACACACACACACACAAACACACACACACACACACACTAAAACTGACTTTTGAAACAATAGAATTTTTGTTAAGGTATGTGAATTCTCTCTCAGTGAAGCTGTCTTGAAGGAATACAGAGCAACACCTGACAGCCTTGCAGACAGGCAGGGAAGCTGCGCAGAAGAAACAGCAGCACTGCAAAGAGGGAACCGAGGAAGTGCAACCGTGGTTAGGTAGGGATACAAACTGAGACACAACACAGCCACTCTAAGCCTACACTCTGCTAAATATGTAAAAAATTAAAGATAAATAAATATAAAATTCAGGAGGTACTAATCATAAAAGGTATTCAGTAAGTATCAACTAATCTATCATTAAATATAAAGACTGAGGGTCAGGTGGTGAAGAAACCCTGTCGAAAAACCTACTACTACTACTAATAATAATAATGACTGAGTTATGAATCCAATTTCTGAAACTTTTAACATGAATTAAGATCCAATGAAAACAAAATTAAAAATAAAAAGTTCAATCTTTTCTATAAGTTCAATCTTTTTTATTTTTAATATTCAAGTAAACCACCAGCAAAATAATCATTAAGAGGCTAAGTAAAAATACAATATGTAAACTGTCAACTGAATGATCAAGGGGAAAAAATTCCAGCTAAAATATGTGTGGAAAGAAATACTGGCATGTAAACTGAAGTATGAATTTGGAATCACAGCTGCAAAAGCAAGAAGAGTGACAAGTTTCAACACCGGCTGTTGGACTGGAAGGCTGACTACACATGAACTCTAAACTGGAGAAAAAGAAGCACAAACGGTAACTGCACGCAAAGCAGAAATGGTTCCACACAACTCACTGCCTCTGCTAACCGCCAAAAGGAGCCAGTTCAAGCTTTGCAAAGAATTCACAGAACTATTAATTTGAGCAAGGTGATCAAAACAACATAGTTACCTTCAGGCTACTAGGTGCCAAATATGAATCTGAAACTCAAAACTGGTTAGGCATGTACGTGTGTACCACTGTGAAGGAGAAGATAAACTTTCATTCCTGAAATAAATCCTCTTTTTCAATGTCAAGGAACATTTTAAACAGAAAAGCAATGTTACAAAAACCCCTTTGTTTAAATGGAAACCAAATCACTGTTTACCATGGAAACCATCTGACAAGAGTCAGCCAGCTTCACCTTTGACTATGAGGATAATTTATCAACGCCAACTCATAATAAACATCCACTAAGTTGACTCGATCCATCTCCCTGACTTGCTGACCTCCTTGCCAGGAGCTCGCTAACTTGCTCTGGAATAAAGGTGCCTGGCTTTCAGAGGTAGATAAAGAAGCCACTGCACAAGTAACAATTTTCTTACCAGGTTTTGCAGGTTGCCAGAGAATGGTGACCCATAGGGGTAAGAATGAAGAACAACATCCTCATTAAGACAAAGAGCTGGTGTTCTCCCAAACTATGGGCCCCTTGCAATGTCCTAAGCCAGCACCCTTCTCCAGCATGCCCTCTGTCTACAAATGAGAAGAGGCCAACTGGACTAGCTGAGTTACAAAATAAAAGTTACTTCAATAGTACAATGTGGAACTTTTGCTTAAAGTACTTCTTTGTCATTAAAGGAGTCAAAAATATCTTTCAATAGCTTAATAGAAAAATTTATCCCATTTTACTCTTCATCAATAAAAATTTAATAAATAATTTCCTTCAGTTTTTATTTACAGGTGTTATATGCCTATTATGAGATTGTGATTTCAGTGGCTATGAAATTTGGTCAAGAGGAGAAATAGTACCTATTTTAGGTTTTGTTTTTTCCAAAAACAGCATGTTTCTTAAGTATTAAATAATAAATGAAATAAAATAAAAATAAAGGATACCCCAAAACATAAGCCATCCCTGCTACCAACCACCTGAGTGAACAGTCTCCCAAAGCACTGCCAATGCTAGAATTACAAAAGAAATATAAAGCTGTTCATAAAGAATCCAACTGCTCTCAGCACTTTTTTCCTCCCTTGGATAACAATCTTACCATCTTTGCAGGTTTTTCCATTCTCCAGAAGCTTGACCCCAGTTGGACAAGCACACTGATAAAAAGGCTTGACGGGAGACATCAAACACAAATGGGAACAACCACCATTATCAATTCCACATGGATTTGTAGCTGTCAAATATAAATCACACTGATTAATGCCAATGATTAGGGATGACCTCACTCACTCCAAATATACAAAGGTTAACAACCATAACATGAGCAACTGTGATAAACCAAAATGACTACCAAATTTCATCCAGGTGCTTGACTGTCAACCATCTGTAAGGAAAGGAATTAATTAGTGAAAACTTAGCATTTTTAACCAAAGAGGAGTAACTAAGAAAAAAAGCAGAAGGTCCTTGCCTTAGTGGAGCTTATAAACTTATCAGTGGCTAAAATTAATAAACAAGGAAGCTAAATACCATATTCCACATTGCCAACTGTAAGAAGGTATACAACCAATGAGAAAATTAATCTTGGTGTTTAAAAAGCTGAAGAAAAAAAAAACTTTCATAGAATGCATGGGACCCACAGGCATCCTGAAGGACAAGAGGGGACATTCTGAACAATTGGGTGTGGTAAAAAGCCTTCAGCATAAAAAATTAGAGACCAGGCCCTGGGAAGCAGTAAGGAGAACACTATTAAATAGAGGCTACGGTTTCTGAACACTGGTAGGAACATCAAGAATGGGAACACTGTGGTAGAGGGTATGAAAGCCAAAAAATACAATTAGAATGTTGGAAAGCCACCCTCTGGAATGAACAAGATGAGAAAGTAAATTCAACAGACTAAAGGAGGGAAAGTGAAACCCAGACAGGCACAATGGCACAAAACCAGAATCCCCCACTGGGAACTGGAGCTCAAGGGTTAGGTACAGTGAGGTGGGACCAGTGAGATAGATACATGGAATGCTGTTTTCATCTTTATTATTTTTCTTTTAAAAGGCTAAGTTGTAGCTTAGTGGTTAGAGTAGTTGTCTAGAATGTACAAGAACTAGGGTAAGCACTGCAAAATAAAATGAGAAAGCAAGAACAAGAGATACAGAAAAAAAAAAAAAACAGCCAAGCTTGTGAACACTGTAGGAACAGATATATTCAAATAATTTCCTGAAAAAAATCAATATAAGGAGAGCAACATACATAAGACATAAATATGAAAATAATTAAAATTCTCAAACCAGTAAAACAAAGGATCAACTGTGACATTTAAAATGGGGTTTGGACACTTTTTGAGGACTAACCATGAGAATTCAAAGTCCACAAAGGACTTAATAAACATTTTATTTTTACATAGATTAACACAATTATTTTTAAATGCTTTTATGGGCTCACAGTCATCAGACTCCAATGTAACACATTAAATATTTGATTATATCCCCCTAAATGGAAAGAACTAATACCAAACAACTCAAAATCCAAGCACTCTTCTTTTTTGGCTATGGAAAACTATTTGAAATATACTCAGACACATGCCAGACATTTATTTACACACAAGTGCCAAATATTTACCATTCTCATATTCCTTTTAAAACCCAAATCTATTCCTCTCTTACAAGGGGTCATTGTCAGCAGGCACAGTCCCATGTCTTTGTAAAGGGTAACCAAAAACAGAAGCAAAGCTAGAAAGAAAAACACATAAAAGGAAAAGAAGGAATACATATGACTGCTTAAGCAGGTAGTTTATTCACCACACTTAGGGACTAAAATTCATTGGCTAGATTAACAGAGGTTTCCTGTTAAATCAGTTTTTTTTTTTTTTTTTTTAGCACACTCACACCTCCAAAAATAGTGAGAAAAACATGAACAAGAAATGCATTTATATATAAAGTTAGCATTCTTAATTTTTAATTCATTTTTGTTTTCTACTTGTCTTATCCCAGGCCCAGATAAAAGACAAGATATTATGTGGTAAAAGGTACCAGGCCACAAGGGTTTAATCTAGTGTTTAACCTGAATTCTGTTTGTATGCTTTTTCTCTTTTATTCCTCCTGCCGAGTTTGGATATGCCCTTCCCTCTCCTGGGCCTCACTGAAGCCAGACATCAGAGTTCTACAGAGCCGTTCCAACCTGGAATTTAGAAATCCAGATCACTTACCATTTGGCTGCCTCTGTTGGCTGAAAGCATGTATATCCATGGGAGAGAAGATGTTAGAATGGATTTCACGCAGACCCTCGCCAGTATACTTGTTGCAAGCCAAAATAGAGTGTGTATTCCAGTCAGTCCAGTACAATGTGTCCTCAAATAACGTCAAGGCAAAAGGATGTGGAAGGGAACCTTTAACCACTGCCTGCCTATTAACAAACACAAAAAGAAAAACTCAAATTTTTAAATTTTCCTTTATGACAACATTATCACTCAGCAATGAACAGTTTATATCAACATATACACATACTAAGGAACACATACCTGTAGATTAAATCCATCTATGAAAAACAATTCAAGTAGCAAATTCAAATATGTTTTCAAGTTGTCAAAAAACCCTAACCAAACACTTAGAATGGTCCCTGCCTTGGCAGCAGGTCAACTAAGTCACAAGACAGAGAAGCCCAAATTTTAACATTGCTGATAACCTCCCTTCTTCTCAACAACAATCTCTAGACTCACATTTTCTATTCTTTCATGTAATTCACACTGACAGGAAAAAAGTAAGCAAGGAGGAAAATCCTAGAGGTGACAGTTTGGCACTAGGAAGTAGATTTAAGGTAACAAGAGGTTTGTCCCTTCTTGCTGTGCAAGAACAAAGAGCCTGAGCCTCTTTTTCAATCTTATGATTTTAATAATTGCAACTGAAAACACACACGATGATAAAATGACATAATTCAGTCTAGCTCCAGAAAATTATCTATTAATAATTTTTGTTTATTAATAATATTTTTATTTTTATTGTATTATAATTAAACCTCTCAATTCAGACAGCTAAGCAAAGTCCTGCATTGGTGCAATATGTTCATAATACAAAACTAGAATTTCACAAACTAAACATATTGCATAAAAAGAGATTTAGTACTCAAGCCAACAGCACTTTGCAGTGTCAGAGTTGTGCAATTAGTAAGTGTGCTAGGCAAAATGAATAAATTGTGATTTCAGTCAAACAAATATTTGAGACAGTAATTGCTTCAGTATTTTCATAAACTATCTTTCTGATACCCAGCCTGGGGGAGGGAGGGGAGGCAGACACAGACACCTAAGCTATTGAAGACAACAATTCAACTTCAGGTTCTCAGGGTTACAAGGACAGTGGACTGTGGAACTGCGGAATCAATGTCTGTTACACATGAACCAGTCCTGACCTAAAGTATTATAAATTCAAGACATTTTATTTTTAAAATTGAGTACAAGATGAAGGCAACTAATTTATATTTTGGAACATCATACTGATTAGCTGACCTAAATCATCAATTTTCTCCTTTCATTTTCCTTATTTTTGTTTAAGTCCTGGAAACTGAATTCAGAGTGTGCATACACTAGGCAAGAGCTCTTTCTACCACTATGTTACACCCCAACTCCACATGCCAGCTCATTAAAAACTTCAAATCTCAGGGATGTGACTTGCTAACACTCATAAGGGCTCAGTCTCCAGCACTAAAATATAAGCATACCTACTAATGCATGGTTTTGCCTGGTGAAGGGACACAGGTTTATAACACCAGTACTCCAGAGACTAAGAAAAGACCTATGGTGTCTGCCTCATCACTCAATAAATACTAAATTGTACTGCAGTGATATAGTATTTATGATTTATTAAAGCTTGCTTCAGAATTCAGAAAGCAAAGTCAGCCTCAAACCATAGAAGCCTGATACACACCTTTAATCCCAGCAGCCAGAAGCTAGGGGGTGGTGGTACACACCTTTAATCCTAGGACTCAGTATTAAGAGGCAGATGGATCTCTGTGAGTCCAAGGCCACCCAGATCTACACAAAAGTGAATCAGTCTAAAAGAGAATTATAGCTCACACCTTTAATCCCAACATTAGAGAAGTATATAAGACAGAAGCAAGGTCTCAGAGGGGCATTTGTTCTCCAGCCACGCTGAGGAGACTTAGTGAAGAGCTCATGGTGACAGGCTCAGCCCATTCAGTCTGAGGTAGAGATAAGAAATTAGTGGCCAGTTGCTTTGCTTTTCTGATACTCAGCTTGAAGTTTGAACCCCAACATCAGTCTCTGGGTCTTTTATTATTCTTATTACATTATACAAAGTGTTTTTCCTGTCTAAACTGAAATTCACCAAGAAACTAAACCAGAGCTGCAGAAATGGCTCACCAGTGAAGAGCACTTACTGCTCTTACAAAGGACCTGGTCAGTTTCCAGAAGCCCATGCCAGCTCACAACCATCCAGGTCCAGGCAGGGCATCAGGAGCTCTCCTCTGACTCCCATAGGCACCAAGGACACGCAACGTACACAAACATACATTCACTCAGGTAAAACAGTCATACATAAAATAAACAAATCTTTTGTAAAAGAAATAAAAATGGATAAAGAACCAAGAAACTAAACTTCTTTCTCAATTTTCATTTTCTAAATTCTTCCTCATTTTTTCCTAAATGAACAATGTGTCACAAGGCAGGTAGCTCATGGCTATAATCCTAACACTTTAGAGGTTGAGGCAGAAATAGTACCACAAACCTGAGGCCTGTGTAGGCAATCATACAGAGTGAGAACCAGATCAAAATATGAAAAACAAAAACAAAAAACAGGGACTGGAGAGATGGCTCAGTGATTAACAGCACTTGCTGCTCTTCCAGAGGACCCGGGGTTCAAATTCCAGCACCCACATGGCGGCTCACAACCATCTATAATGAGATCTGATGCCCTCGTCTGGCATGGAGGCATACACGTAGGCAGAATACTGTATACATAATAAATAAATAAATAAATAAATAAATAAATAAATCAACCATCAAAGAAGAATCACAAGATGAGTTAAATACTGAACTAAACAAAATGCAAATACAATGCATAACAATTTATGAGTACCCACCAAAGCAGTGAGGTAAATTTATAAACTACAAATGCCTCAATTAGGAGTTAGATGACAAATTAATCTCCTACTCTGTCTCAGCCTGAAGAAATTAGAAAAGGAAGAGCACAGGAAGGCAAAAAGCATGGGAAGACAGTAACACAATAAGTTGATTCTTTGAAAAGATTAATGAAACTGCAACCTGTTAGCTATGATGTCAAAGTAAAAAAAAAAAAAAAAAAAAAAAAAAAAAAAAACCGGGGAAGAAAAAAAAACTGAAAACCATCATGACTGAAATGGGAACATCATTATCATACTTTTAAAAAATCAAAAACTAATTACAAGGAACAACCATAAAAACTTTGTGCCAACAAATTAGTCAACTTACAAGAAATGGAAACATTCTTAGAAAGAAACCAATTACTAAAATAGATTCATGGAGGAAGTCAACAGAGCTGCATAAACAAACTCAGCCATTTAAAGAATTTCCAAGAAATAGCCAGGCTCAGACAGCCTCACAGATTAAATCTATGAGATACTTATCAATCAATCAATCAATCAATCAATCAATCAAATAGAAATACTTGGTAGCACACTCTGAGAAAATATAAAGGGAAAGGAGACATTTCCCAACTCATTCTTAAAGGCTGGTTCTAAATTAGTAAAAAAAATCAAAGGCACCAGAAAAAAACAAACTATGTATTAATATCTTTCATGAATAAGGACATAAAAATCCTCAAAAGAAAATACAAGCTTGGCTCAACAATTAAGAGAGCGATTTACAATATTTATTTAAACACACACATAAATATATATATATGGCAAGATCCATGTTCATTCATGATTTAAAATGAAGTCAACAAACCAGGAATAAAAGAAAACATCCTTCACCTGAAGAAAGCACTTTACCAAAAAATCTACACTACCATTCTGCTAACCTGACAGAAGTGCAGATCCTGTAGGAGCAAGAGATGTCTTCTTTCTACATTGTATCACAAGACCTAGCCAGTGCAACCAAGCAAAAGACAACCACACCCAGATCACAAAGGGAAGCAGTAAACAGCATCATTCACCAATGACATTATTTTGTACACAGAATATACTTAGTTTAAAAAAAAAAAAAGAAAAACTATGTTCCCAAAACTAGTGAATTCAACAAGATTGTAAGACATTTGATTCATAAACAAAAATAGTTTGCACTTCTACATATAAACAATTAAAAATAAATGTTCTAATTTTTTACTAAAATAATGGCTAGGAATAAAAGTATTTGCTTGACATGTATGAGGTCCTTGGCTCAAGCTCAAGCACCACAAAATTAAAACAGGGCTGTCAAGATGGTTCAATGGGTAAAGGTACTTGATTAGGCAAGTCTGACAACCTGAGTTTGGTCCCATAACTCATGTGAAAGTGAAAGGAGAGAACTGAGAACTGATTCCCAAAAGTTGTCCTCTGATCTCCCCACAGATACGAATAATAGAATTCTTTAAAAATCATTCATTTCTTTAAAAATAAATAATAGCATAAAGGGCTAAGAATATACAGTTCAAGGATACAGCATTGCCTAACATGTGTGAGGTCCTAGATTCAATCCCCAGTCCATAGCCTGTAGTGAGGCCTTAGACTCAATCTCCAGCACTATAAGTAAAATAATTATACTGTCATACATAAATATATAATGCTGAATTGCTTTTTATGGTATACATTCAAAATACTATCAGGGATACATTTTAAAAAGGAATTTAAGTGCTATCCTACACAAAAAAAGAAATGAAAATGGATCATACATCTGATCTAGATATAAGCATTAAACTAATAAAACTCTTCTTGGGAGTTTCTCTCATAGAAGAAAATATCATTCTGTGCCAGGCAAAGATTCCTGGAAGTACCAAAAGCAATTTTAACAAGAGTAAAAACTGATAAATTGCATATAATAAAAACTTTTAATATTTGTTTCAAAATATGCCATAAAGAAAATGAAGTGATAGAAATGTTCCTAAATCCAGGTTCTGGCTATTACAGACAATGCTGCTATGAACATGGTTGAGCATATGTCCTTGTTGTATGAACATGCCCTATTTGGGTATATACCCAAGAGAGGAATGGCTGGATCTTGAGGTAGACTGATTCCCATTTTTCTGAGCAACCGCATACTGATTTCCAGAGTGGTCTTACAAGTTTGCACTCCCACCAGCAATGGAGGAGTGTTCCTTTTTCTCCACATCCTCTCCAGCATAGGTTGTCATTGGTATTTTTTATTTTAGCCACTCTGACAGGCGTGAGATGGTATCTCAGAGTTGTTTTGAGTTGCATTTCTCTGATGGCCAATGATT